GAACCAAAGAGAAAAGTCTCTCAAAAATCTCAGATTCAATAATCTCCCTCAATTAGGGTTACAAGCCCCCTTTAAATAGGGAAAAGTAATTCTAATCAGAATAGGAAACTAACACCCTAAGCCCTAATCATAATAACCACGAATTGGGCCTTAAATAAATGAATGTTCAGCCCAAAATAATATAAAAAACGTGAAAATAACTAAAAGTAGCCTAAAGTAACATGAAATATCAGTTTGTTACAAATTGCGACAGAATTGCGAGATTGACGCAAACTGTGTAATTTAGCATAAATGACCTCGATTAAGCTTCTCTTGAACCTGAATGATGTTTATCATGCCTTGATAATCATCCAAGCTTCGATTTGCTTGTTGTATGTTGTTTTCAACCCAGATCTGCTCAGTAAGGCCATTTAAAGCTTCACACATCTTCTTAGCACTAGCTCGCGTGACTGGACCTCCTTGGGTGTGTAATGGATCACATGACGTGGTAGATATGCTGTCGTCTTGATTCCCATCAAAAAGAGATTTGCAAATCTTGAGAAATCAACTTTGAATCAAAGGATGGTTGGGTTGATGGAGCAAAACATGGGGAGATCCTTTCAGCTTAGAATTGCTTTCAACATGTTTACTTTTAACGAATAGTCAAGTGGGAGTGGAACAACCTTTTCCTAGTGAAATCCTTAACATTGTTGATTATTTTTTTTGGTAAAATTAGTCTCTACAACATCTTATTTAATTACTTAATTCTACTCAACATCACAATTGACCTTTCTTATTAGGTTGCAATGTGTTTATGATAGAAATTGAGCAATTAGATTTTCTCTAAAATAATTGGAAGCTAAAAGGATTAAATGGTTGTCATCTGAGGCAGTGATGCTTACCACAAGAACATTTAGGTGATGTTATAGGGTGGTGATGATGATTTTGGTTGGACTTAAAGTTGGTAAATTACAAATGCATTTTGGACTTAGAGCATGTACAATGGATAACATCTCAAAATCTTATTTTGGTGTCACATTACTAAAATTAATATTATTTTATATAAATTCACTCTTTTACATATTTAACTTTCAAATAACATACCTAATAGATCATCTCTCCAATGCATACAACAAAATAGAACTTCTTCAAGAGTCACACCACTATAATTATTCCACATGTGTATATAAGGGTTAAGCTAAAGGTGCATTTATTGTACCTTTTCATAATTAATTTGTGAGGAAAAGATAAATGTTGACTTCAATTTAGTTAATTTGCCAATTATAACTTTTTATGAGGCATGATGTTAAAATAAATGCCAACTTTTATGATTTTTTGTGTAAATTAATTGTAAATTGGTGCATTTATATTGCCAATAAATTGTGTACTCAAACAATATATAAATTAACTTGTCATGTTTATCCATCTGATTACTATAATTAATAAGATGAGACTTACAATAGCCAACATATAAATGACAAAAAAAAAAAAGGTTGATCTATGAAAAATAAAAAGAATAAAAGAGTTGAAAAAAATGTTAGAAACGTGAAAGGATAGCATTAAAGTAAGCAATTGACATAATCTAATATTGCGACAACAAATCAAAAAACTTTACTCCTAGCTTTATTGAATACCAATAAGAGATGTTCTTAATAAGAAGTTAGACTCATTAAGAAATGGAAGCACAAATGTAGCCTTTGGGTTTTGATTTTGCAAATGAATTGGACCATGTTTTCTAGATCGAGGAAATTTAAATCTAATTTGAATTCTTCTTCTCATTATTTAGAACAAAAGAGATTTGCAAATCTTTGAAAATCAATTTTGAATCAAAGGATGGTTGAGTCGATAGAGCAAATCATGGGGCAGTTTTAAGTTAGTTCTAACAAGCATAATTCCAACGATTTTTGGAAACCAAAGTTTTGTTCTTGGCAATAAGGTAACAAAGTTTGTTTTGCTTACAAAGATTTGAAGTTATTCAAGCATGGAAGTTGTAAAAAAATAAAGAACAAATTTAGACACGCAAATTCAATTTTAAAAGCTTGTAAATATAAGATTTCAAAATATATTTCAGTTTGAGGCCTACCCTTATCTACAAATCAATTTCCTTTGAAATCTCACACTTTCCTAATCATGTCTTAGCTTAAAGACCTAAGATCCTTTCAACTTAGAATTAATTTCAACATGTTTACTTTTAATTAATTAATGGGAATCAAGACGACAGCATATCTACTACGTCATGTGATCCATTACACACCCAAGGAGGTCCAGTTACACGAGCTAGAGCTAAGAAGATGTGTGAAGCTTTAAATGGCCTTATTGAGCAGATCTGGGTTGAAAACAACATACAACAAGCAAATCGAAGCTTGGATGATTATCAAGGCATGATAAACATCATTCAGGTTCAAGAGAAGCTTAATTGAGGTCATTTATAGTAAATTACCCAGTTTGCGTCAATCTTGCAATTCTGTCGTAATTTGTAACAAACTGATATTTCATGTTACTTTAGGCTACTTTTAGTGATTTTCACGTTTTTTATATTATTTTGGGTTGAACATTCATTTATTTAAGGCCCAATTTGTGGTTACTATGATTAGGGCTTAGGGTGTTAGTTTCCTATTCTGATTAGAATTACTTTTCCCTATTTAAAGAGACTTGTAACCCTAATTGGGGAGGCTATTGAATCTGAGATTTTGAGAGACTTTTCTCTTTCAGTTCGTTATTGAACTAAACAAGCTCAATTCAAGTTATTTTGCAGCAATCTAACTCCAACAAATCTGCAACAAATCTCTTTCCTTTAACTCTTGCAGATTTGTTGGAGTTAGATTGCTGCAAAATAACTTGAATTGAGCTTGTTTAGTTCAATAACGAACTGAAAGAGAAAAGTCTCTCAAAATCTCAGATTCAATAGCCTCCCCAATTAGGGTTACACGCCCCTTTAAATAGGGAAAAGTAATTCTAATCAGAATAGGAAACTAACACCCTAAGCCCTAATCATAGTAACCACGAATTGGGCCTTAAATAAATGAATGTTCAGCCCAAAATAATATAAAAATCGTGAAAATCACTAAAAGTAGCCTAAAGTAACATGAAATATCAGTTTGTTACAAATTACGATAGAATTGCGAGATTGACGCAAACTGGGTAATTTACCATAAATGACCTCAATTAAGCTTCTCTTGAACCTAAATGATGTTTATCATGCCTTGATAATCATCCAAGCTTCGATTTGCTTGTTGTATGTTGTTTTCAACCCAGATCTACTCAATAAGGCCATTTAAAGCTTCACGCATCTTCTTAGCTCTAGCTCGCGTGACTGGATCTCCTTGGGTGTGTAATGGATCACATGACGTAGTAGATATGCTGTCGTCTTGATTCCCATCTGATGAGAACCCCAAAGAGAACAATGAGACCCATAGCATCACAAGGGATTTCTAAACTCCAAGAAAGCTAAATCAGGTTTATAGTAGGACTGTGACCCGTTGTTTATGTCGCAACAAGAACCAAAGGTAAAAACCTTGACCCGTTGTTTATGACGCAACAAGAACTAGAGGTATAAAGTCGGTTGACGCCACACCCTCGAACAATGAAGAACAAGAATGATAAGTCAGGTTAGAACGCCACAAGAATAATCTTGATAAGTTCTATAAAGTTCTCAAACGAACCAAAGAGAAAAAGTCTCTCAAAAACTCAGATTCAATAGCTTCCTCCCCATTAGGGTTACAAGCCTTTTAAATAGCGAAAACAAATCCTAATCCGAATAGGAAACTAACACCCTAAGTCCTAAACCTAATAACCACGAATTGGGCATCAAATAAGTGAATGTTCAGCCCAAAAATAATACAAAAAATGTGAAAATCACTAAAAATAACCTAAAATAATACAAAATATCAGTTTGCTACAAATTGTGGTAGAATTGTGCGATTTTGATGCAAACTGTGTAATTCCATGCAAATGACCTCAACGAAGCTTCTCTTGAACCTGAATGATGTTTATCATGCCTTGATAATCATCCAAGCTTTG